TTTTTATAATATAAAGATAAATTTTTATTTTTATTTTATTGTTTTTTTTTTTAATAAATATTTTTGCTTAAATTTAAGTTTTTTAAATGCTTATTTGAGTGCTTATAATGATGTTTTTAAGTGCTTATTTAAGCGCTTATTTTAATGATTTTAAGTGCTTTAAGTCCCGAGCCCTGGTAATAAGCAATAACCTACGAAAGCGTAGTTTTATCCCAAGGTGGATTAATTTTTTAATCAGTGAACTTTAATCGTATTTGCATTATCGATTTGTGTGGATAATCAACCAATGATTAAAAATGTACAATGAACGTGAATTCAAAATATGTTTTAATTAAAAATAAAGTGTAATATTGTTCAAAGTACGTAGGTTATATTTGCATTTAAAATGATTAATTTTGTATTTATTTAAAACAATAACCATTTTTTTACACTGCTACTTGTCTTTGTTATCACTGCCAAATGTTTTATCCTCTTTAATATAACAATTCAATTGCGGTTTTTTGGATGTTTTATTTTAGTATGTAGCCATTTTTATTTAAGTCTTGTCTGCTCTAACTTAAATATGCACTTTACTACCTACTATTCGGTTTATTTAAACAATAAAAAAGATAAAACACGGGCGTATTAATTTTTGTCGATAAAATAGACAATAGATAAAATAAAAAATGAGCATCGGAAACATTTTTCGATTGAAACGTTTGAGACGTGGTTGCATTTTTTTTGGAGTTCGTACATTTCTGTGGAGTTTGAACTATTTTGGAGATTGATTATATAGAATTCTAAACGTTTTGTTTAAGCTCGGTTTGGTATTTTTAAAACTAGGTTCGATTTTCGAACACTAACAGTCTATTGGAATTTATGAGGTTTTAGTAGATCTGCAGACGCCGTAGTTAGAGTGGAGTAAAATATAAATACTGAAGTGTTAGCTATAGTTTTTATGCTCTTTTTATATAATGTAAAAACGCATTGCCTATGTCTAAGACACAACGATAGAGAATATAACATAACAAAAAAACTATTTAATATGTTTCATCATCGCAACCTTTGCGAATCGTCTCTCAGCGACAATGAGATATATAAATACATATTCTCGACTTTTATACATCCACCTATAGGTATATATGAGAACATCCGACCGGGCACAATAGGGGAATAAATATACATAGGTATTAGGTATAGTGATATATACATTAATTCTAGAGACGACCTTATCCGTTTTTTTTTTTGCTTCTCTATTTGGCAATCGATGGTCTATTTATTTATATACATTACTCCGCAAAAACAGCAGCAACGGTAAACGTACAACCGATTACAATATGTATAACCACTATTTTCTTTTATTTATGCAACTCTGCAGTGTAAAAATGAAGTGCAGTTGCAGTACTTGCAACAACTATGTAGACACGTCATATGTAACTGGCCAGTACTTCACGAAATCAATGGGCAACATTTAACACAAATTTCACAGATTATATTGCTCACATAATTCATATTATAATAATATATTATACAATGTGCCTTTTCGCACAAAATAAAATTCGTTTAGGTGGAGAGGGCGAGGATTTAATTTAAAACGTGCACTATATATACGCACATGATTTATAATATTACGCAACAACTACAGTTAATAATATACAGGTGGTTACCATAAATAGGTAATATAATATAATATGTATGATTTATTGAATGTTGCTTGTGTAAGTATTTATAACATATTATTATAGGTATACTCAGCACAAATGTTTTGCAGAGTACAAGGTATATAATATGCATTTATCGTGTTAACAATAATAATCTATATACACTAATAACCTTTGTTTTTAAACGAATTGTTCTATAAAAAATAATGATAATTATAATATAATACATAGGTATATATTTTGTATACCTTATATGTAATACAATTCCTAAAACCATAAAATACAGTACCTATAAATACCTATTATAGACTATCGTGTATTGGTTGTTAAATTTGTATAGTAAGACTCGACTTAAGTTTGGACTTCGTAGAGGGTCGTAAAAAATGAAGTTTAATTTGGGTAACTTATGTTAGACATTCGTGCATAGGCAAGCGTTAAATTAAAAATTTCGTTTCGAAAAATAATCTATTGCCACATATTATAATATTATGTTTTCATTAGGTAAGTACCACAATATAAGATGAGGTACCTACCTATTCATAATAAATTACGATCGTGTACAAATTGAGTTTAAATATTGTTATTATTATTGTAGAAATAAAATTGTGAAAGTCTAAACGTTATTCTCTTGTGTTATCACACGATCACTTTCCACAAACATTGGTCAGAGATCAAAGTTTCCATTAGAGTTCAAATGAACCGCTTGTAATTGCAACGTGTTATTATAATATTATTATGCTAAGAGAACTTGAAGTTCAGTTAATTGTAATATGTCTATTTTATACGGTAACGAAGTGTATAAATCTTAATTGGGATTGGGTTTCACTTAAGCGCATATTTCATATAGGCACACCTGGAATTAGGTATATTATTTAATTATTATAGTAGTACCTATATCGAATAGAGTTCGTCGTTCGAGTTTTAATGTCTAATGTTCTTTGGAAAATATAACATTTTATCAACAGGCTCTGCAACATGTGTATAGGTAATTAAACAGATTTATAACATTTTAATATTAAATGTATTTAACGGCTCGCGAATATGATACACTGCACTGTGCTTATTCCGAATCGCATAACGGAAGTATACGGAACACTACACCAGTGCAGTGTAAATAATTGAGCTTTTATCTTCTTTTATACTCACAATTTATATTTCATTTGAATTTGTATGTCTACACATATATTATTTATAGTTATACATATTTGGGTCGAGAACTTCAAACTTTGCACATCGTTTTTGGATATTTTTTAAATTAAATACGTGTTTACTTTGTTCATTATTGATTATCATACAATAATAATAATAATATGTAATCACCGAAAATGCAGGTCACTGTAAAATGTACTCGCTTCAGTGAACATTTGACGTCGAATGTCCGATAAATTTGTCCTGTCCCGGGCACGGTATATAGGTATAGGCGGTGTACGTAGTATTCTATTCAACAGCTTTAAATTAAATTTGATAGTTAATAAATAAATTGCCACTATATACCACTGAATATAGGTAGGTAGGTTTAAAAAATGATTTTGTTTTAAAATAGTTGTGTACAATAGTTGCAGTAGTATCGTTATAGTCGTGTATCGGGTGACACACGAGTACACGACAAAGTGTAACACTGGTGCAGTAAACATGCGGCTTGAATAGAACTGTTGCTGGGCATTTAATTAAATTGACGGTTTTACAGAAATATCTTGTACAAACAATGTAATATTAAAATGGTATAGAATGGATACACAGAGTGATTCACCAAGCATGCTACAGCCAGTTATTGAAAATCTGATTTTTAAACATATTTCAAGATTGTATTATATTCAAATTTATGAGATTTTTCGTAGTAGCTAAGAAGTGTCCTGTTGGGTTAAGGAGTTAAGGACTATTATCCTAGCATAAACATTTTATTAACTGAACTCGTTCGAATTTTAAATTTTAGTGTCTTAGTAATTTAAAAGTTCCAAATATCCAAATATAAAATATTTTAAACGCATTTATTGTTGAATGAAAAATAGGGATGAACATGATTGGTGAATCACTCTGTAGTACACACACACACGATTTTCGTTTCAAATATATATACAACTAACTTATATATATGTACTATATAAATAACGCGAATCAATGTCAACGCTTATATCCATCGTCTTTAAGCTCTGATTGGGGGAGAATTTTAGTAAAGTACACTGCCGCCGTGATGACACGTTAATGCACTTAAAAGTTGAAACGGTACTTACTATGAAGTAGAATAGCCGTTTACCAAGAATATATATACATCTGTTTTATATATATATAATTAGTGCTTTATTTCTATTCAAACTTTTATGTTTACAATATTCGGGGATGGAAAATGTTGTTTTCCCGTTAATCTCTTATATAATATGAAAGGAGTTTTTGCTATTATACAATATTAGGGACGGAACAGATAATTGTATTAGGCCCGCTCAATTAAGTGGCGTCTAATCACAATCTCTGTTCGGGTCGAGCGAGGCCTAGGCAGGCGCGCTTGGGGGGACTTTCTTTTAATCAGTGTTGTCCTGAAAAGGAAAATTTATTACCCAATGTCTTCCAGTTGGTTATCCAATTGGTAAGTTCTTGCCTCTGGTTGATTACTCTTCTCTGCGTCCTGTAAGGTCCCTGTTGCTAGTCGATCCGCCTGACCAAAATATCTATGTCACACGAAGCTATTAATGGCGCATCGAGTATCCGCATCGGAGTTCCGGTCTAAGCCTTTCTCCGATGTCGGATATAACGAGAGGTTACCATTTAGTTAGTCCCGTGGACAAAGATATATATAGGCCGATGTGTTGGAATGCCGCTGACCGTACGATCGATTTTGTGGCGATGCTCCAAGAGAGTTGCACACGGGATCGTACCGGTCGTCGTTCGTCGGTCGGGGCTCTTGAACGCCGTGGACCGGAGTCGGTGTCGTCGTCGGACCGTACGATCAATTTGTGGCGATGCTCTATGAGAGTTGCACACGGGATCGTACCGGTCGTCTGCTGGTTGAATATTCTTGAGGTTTCTTCGGGTCTTCAGTCTTCGTTGTAGTTTGGTTGAAGTGTGAAGAAGGAGTGAGAGTATATTCAACCAGCAGACGACCGGTACGATCCCGTGTGCAACTCTCATAGAGTATCGCCACAAATCGATCGTACGGTCCAACGACGACACCGATTCCGGTCTACGGCGTTCAAGTGCCCCGATCGACGAACGACGACCGGTACGATCCCGTGTGCAACTCTCATAGAGCATCGCCACAAATTGATCGCACGGTCCGACGACGACACCGACTCCGGTCCACGGCGTTCAAGTGCCCCGACCGACGACCGGTACGATCCCGTGTGCAACTCCCACAGAGTATCGCCACTAATTGATCATGCGGTCCAACGACGACACCGATTCCGGTCCACGGCGTTCAAGAGCCCCGACCGTCGAACGACGACCGGTACGATCCCGTGTGCAACTCTCTTGGAGCATCGCCACAAAATCGATCGTACGGTCAGCGGCATTCCAACACATCGGCCTATATATATCTTTGTCCACGGGACTAACTAAATGGTAACCTCTCGTTATATCCGACATCGGAGAAAGGCTTAGACCGGAACTCCGATGCGGATACTCGATGCGCCATTAATAGCTTCGTGTGACATAGATATTTTGGTCAGGCGGATCGACTAGCAACAGGGACCTTACAGGACGCAGAGAAGAGTAATCAACCAGAGGCAAGAACTTACCAATTGGATAACCAACTGGAAGACATTGGGTAATAAATTGTCCTTTTCAGGACAACACTGATTAAAAGAAAGTCCCCCCAAGCGCGCCTGCCTAGGCCTCGCTCGACCCGAACAGAGATTGTGATTAGACGCCACTTAATTGAGCGGGCCTAATACAATTATCTGTTCCGTCCCTAATATTGTATAATAGCAAAAACTCCTTTCATATTATATAAGAGATTAACGGGAAAACAACATTTTCCATCCCCGAATATTGTAAACATAAAAGTTTGAATAGAAATAAAGCACTAATTATATATATATAAAACAGATGTATTTACATTCTTGGTAAACGGCTATTCTACTTCATAGTAAGTACCGTTTCAAAGTTAGTGAGAATTGTAAACAAGAACACTTTTAATTTTTTTCCGTTCACTGTAGGTATATTTAACATAAATTATGTAATCGACAACTAAAATTGCTCGATTATTTCGAGTAAAGCGAGGTACCTGTAATCTATATATATACAAAGCATAGACTCTATATATAGATAGATTATACGATTTTTTTATATTAAACATTTTTATGGAAATAACCTACTCGGAAAAGTAGTTGAGAATACTATGATGAATTATACATGGAAACATTTCAGTGGCGACGGATAATGATTATAAGATTTAAAAAAAAAAAATTAGCCGTCATCGAAGAAAGTCTGATAGACAGATACTTATTGAGACGCAGGAGAAGAGGAAACAACACAAAAAGACATTGTAATAAACTAATAATATTACTATATCACCATAGGTGGTAACCAGTGTATATAATTTATGTATTATCCTCTGAGTTTTATCAAAATCTTCCGATCTAGTATAAATACGATTTTAAAGATTACACTACACGAATAATAATAATAATAATAATAATAGTAAATATTATATAAAACATAATAATGTATAACATTTGACATTATGACGTACACGCAGATACGAAATCCGTGGGAGTATCTAAATGGAACAGAATACGTAGGTATATAATATTATAATGTATTTTGTGCACATTATAAATATTATGTTTAACGCTCGATAAACACAGGCTAAAAGCGTTGATGAACCACTGGCTACAAGTCCAATAAACTCGTTTTATTTGACTACTTTACCCTGGTCGTTTATGGACCGTATTCTCGAAAAAAATACTTTCAGAATTCAATAGCCCTCAAACTATTCGGGGGTTCACTGTTCAAGTTATAAAAATAAATTTTTACAATTTAATTGCTTTACCCGATTTTTTTTATTAATTTATGTATATTATAATTGTATTTATATGGATTCAGGGTGGTTCTTTAACTATACTATAAACTTACCTAATCATATTATTATCTCCAAAAGTATGAACATATTTCATGGAAATATTTTTTCTATAATATACAACTTTTAAGACTTACAACTAGATAATAAAACAAATAAAACAAGGTTTTTGAAGAAACTATATTTTATATCGTTATAATTTTTATTTTTTGAATAAGTAACAACATTCAATTTTAATTTCATACTCCTGTGTACTCCCAAACATTTTCCAAAAAATGCTCTTATGAATATCTCGTGGACAACCTACAAATTAATTTCTACATTTTATTCCGCATATACGTAGGTACACTTTTTACGTTTTTTGACTTTTTATATGACAGTAATACAAAGTCGATAAAATTATGGTGCAAACGAGTGAAGTTTTAGACGGGTAAAACCAATTTCAATAAAGTTTAAGAAAAACTCTTTAAAAATTAATGTAAACGTTAAGGCATTATAATGTCGTCTTAATGACAATGAAATACCTAAAATTCCTCCTGACTCGTATATAAAAAGCAACGTAGGCAATTAATTTAGATATATGCAATTAAAACTCTCACCTTCGCTTTACAATTTCATATACACACCCATAGTATAATGGTAATTATTATAATATATTATTGTTGTTTCCGATGGGCATTTATGAATTCGTCACACTAAAATATGTTTGTGCAGACGCTACACGAAAAAAGGAAGAGACTCAAACGTATCACCTGCAACGGTCTTTTAAGTACCTACTACCAGATAATTATTTTTTAACCGATATTATTGATATGGTATATTATCGCTGTATCCTGTTTACCCCATCCTTACGGTGCACCTATTGTATTAATACTTATTGTTTGTGTTACAATATTATAATTATCATCCATATAATGGTATGATTAATTAAAAAACCGGATTATATTTATACTTTTATTTCTAGAATAGATGGTGTAATATCCACATCCTTTTTTGACGCAAAGTTTCTGAATTATACAGGGTGTCCCTTGAAGATATACCTAATAACAGTAGAGGGGTATAAAAACAGGTTTTTTAAAAACTAAAAAAATGATTAAAAACCATGAGGTTAATGAAAATAAAATGTTGAAAGGTCAACATTTTCAGAAAATTAAACTTCTCTATAAAATGGCTATAATATTATTCTATTGTTTCAAAAATGAAAAAATAAAAACTACATTTTTTAACTTTTTTACCAATAAATTTAATTAAATTAAAAAATAAAATAAAATACAATCAGTGAATCTAATAAAAAATACAGATTTATGATAAATTTATAATCTCAGGAGATATCTTAATGAGAAAATCCTCGCGGGACACCTGCATATAGGTACTACCAAATTGTAAAGGTGAAAAAAATGTTCACTACTATTATAGTAGTAATATTTATGACAAATCACAATATTATTTGCTTTACATTTTAAAATAATAATTATATTATAGGTATAATATGTAAGCGAGTATTCAACGACGAATGATGATCCGTTATAAATCTAAAAAAAAGCATTATTCGGCGTCAAAAAGGACGTTTTCAGCATAGGTCCAGTTTTTATTTTCTAGGTACCTACGACGTACCTATTATATATTTGGAACAGGCGGTGGCATATCGACATATCGTTCAAGGCTCTACAAGTTACAACTCGCGCACATAGATAGTATAACATTGTGACTGTAACAAAACCGGTAATCTGATTTCAGGCCGACGGTGGAAAAAAAAATGTAACAATATGGTTGAACTGTTTTATGATGAGAATTTATATGCGATTGGTAGTTAATGTAATAATATGACAACAATAGAAAATTTCTCCCCTATGTATAAACGCTCGCGGGTCAGCCCTCGACGGATAAACGACCCGCGTGAAGGGTGTTTAATCCGCTGCACACGTATAATAATAATAATAATATAATATATCATGTGTGCATTTGCATGGCGGTGGTCTCAGGGGCGTCATTTCAACTTTTCAATAGGGATGCAAACATTTGAATCAGGCCAATTGTTCCCTCCACCAGGCCATTTATATATCCTGTTTATTTAGCGGAACTTAAAAAAATTTCCGATCGCTTCGCTCACTCATATCCCCACATTTTAATATTCAAATACTCATTAATACTTTTTTTTCAAACATATTTAACCAATTTCATATAAATAAAAAAAGATATATTTAATAATATTTGTATTAAACAATAACATAAAAAGAAATACAAAAACTAATTATGTACTTTAACTAAGTAAATAGGTATAACAGTAAAAGTACTAAAAGTTATTAAAAAAGTGGATATCTCCTATTCTTCATTTTCCCAAAATCATCCACAGCTTTATTTAAATCTATTTTATTGGCCTCGTCCTTTTCAACGTTTATTATCATGAGATCACTGAGTCGCTCGTCACCCATAGAAGTACGTATATAAGATTTTACATTTTTCATAGAAGAAAAAAAGCGTTCATTAGATGCTGTAGATATTGGAAGAGTTTTAATGATATGCATTAGTTTTAAAGTTTCTGAAAATGAACTAGGAAGTTCAATGAGAACATCTACAATCATTTCTAAGTCCGGTCTTAAAATATGTTTATGTTCAAGCAAAGTTTTAGCAGATGAAAATTCTGATTTGACTTTTATTTTATTAATTTCAAAATATTTATAATGATCTATGATGAACTCTAAAGACGGACACTTTGGATTTAAATAATATAAGCTTGTATAGTCGAAAATCTGAAATATCTTAAATAATTCTTGGTTTTTCTCAGAAAAGCGAGTTTCTAATTGTTGTACAAATCTGAAATTGTTAACAAGCGTAAAATTAAAGCCATACATTCAAAGCTTATAGACTAGTTATTACAAAATATATAAATATTTAAAAATTTGTGAACTAAATAATTATTAAATAAATAAAAGAAATATATATATAATTTAAAGTATTATCAACTTGGCAATTTCAATAGGACAATAGGTTCTTATGAAAAATTCGCACCATTACAGCGCGTTTGCATCTTACATTTTATCGACGGCGCAATTATAACATTTTATACGGGCCAACCAAACATTTAAAAAAATAGGGCTGCCAATGTATAGTCTGAATCCCCCAAATGACGCCCCTGGGTGGTCTTTCGTATAATATGTATAAACGGATTTGGCAGGTCGGCAGTGAAAAAAAAATTATGTATACATTTATATAGGTACCTAATGTATATATTATATAAATATGATATATAATATAATATAATTAATATAATATAAATATTCTAACAAATGTATATATTTGACTTAAAAGAAATTATCATAATACATATTATAATATAATAATAATATAACTTTACGGTGAGTGAAAAAACTACCGATTTTTAAAAATGGGTTATTTTTTTTTTATTATAATTACACAATCTATACTAAGAGCACAATAAGCGTATTTGCGAAGAGAGTAAACAAGTAGGATAATACGGGAGCAACAAAAAAAAAATATATATATATACTTATAAAATATTCTTTTAATTGATCTTGAGACCGGGGATTAAGCTAATGTAGGGGTT